ATACTCCAGTACTGGTACCACTGAGTAGTGTACACACCAGTAGGACCACCTCTACACTGATAGGTAGCAGTACTGCCCACTGCAGTGGAGCTCATGTTGAATATCATGGTATCCGTAGAATTAAATGTTGGACAGTCAACTATAAAAGTGCAAATAAAATAGGACAACACTATTAGAATTAAAACCTACTTGGCAGAGTTATCTTAATATCGACAGTGGAGATCATAGTAGCGGGGGAGCGAGGGAGAGTAGCTACACAGGTGTATATCCCAGTCATATTCCTGGTGGTATTCACTAACTCAAGTTCTCCACTCTCACTGACCATCTTCCCATCAGGAGAGATCCATTGTAAAGTTGGTTGAGGGTCTGAGTTTGACCCATCACACAATAGATGTAACGTATTGCCTTCAGTAACCTCTGTTTCCCCCATAATGGACGGAGGGTTGAAAACTGGTGGAGATATTTTAGAGATATATAGTAAAATCTGCCGTTGTTACATACCTTTAAAGAGCAAAACTCCTACTTTTGCCATGAAATAAGTCACATTGCATGAACTTCTGCGAAAAACCTCACAGCATTGTATGTTTGTATCCCAGAATGTACTGAACACACTGCCACTGTCATTCACTACCAATGTATCTGAATAATTATGCGTATTTTTCTTCACGACTCTTCCCAGACTGCTGCTTGGAGTAACAACTGTGTCATTCACCCTGAACACCACTTCATTAGTGAAAAATAAAATTTGTGTGTAGTTACATTCGAAGCATACTGTATCCAGAGAGGCATTAACATAGATGATGGTGTTATTGACACTGGTAAGGTTCACAGTTGTCCCACAATCCTCAGGTCCTAGCTCAGACGAGTAGACTGAAGCAAAACATTGAACCAAGCATAGCTGCATATCTCATGAACTTACCACAGCTCCACCAGATCCAGCATATCAACACAAAGTGGTAACGAACCGTAATCAAGAAGGCTAGTGGCACGTGGAGCTTCATAACGGCTTCACCTTTTCCCACTAGCTCCCCATATGAGCGTGAGACATGTGATCGTGATGTTGGGAGCCGGAGTAGTGGGGGCCGGGGGCGGTCGGTGCATCCACGAGTTTTTCACGCGCAGTCAGCGCGCGATCGGTCCGTAGTGCATTTTTGCGCATGCGCTCTGTGTGTAGTAGCCGACTGTTCATTTGCACCATGTACCACCAAGCATAGCTGCATATCTTATGGACTTACCACAGCTCCAGATCCAGCATATCAACACAAAATGGTAACGAATCGTAAACAAGAAGGCTCGTGGCACGTGGAGCGCATGCACGCGTCCGTCCATGCCATATCGCGCGCGCGCGATCGCGATGTCGCGTCGATTGTCACATTTTTGCGCATGCGCTCTGTGAGTGGCGGTCTGGCGGACTGGCATCCCTCCATGTGGTCTATTTCCCATGATTAGCATTTCAATTATTTTTCAATTCGCACACTTGGTGTGTTAGTGGGCATATATACAGTTACACTGTACAGTTTTCAAGTCAGTTCACTTAGGTTCGTTTGCTTGTCCTGCGTGCCATGATCTCTTTAGGAGTTCCATAAGCCACATTGACATCCATCTCCAACCTCTCTTCTCTTGTCTTCTGCTCTGATCCTGTGTTGGAGTTATGACATAGTTCGGATATTGTTGGAAGTGTCACTCACCTTTCTTTGTAAGAAGTACTATTTTCACAAGTGCTCCCACTAGTAGACCAGTTTGAACCAAGACAATGAGAGAGAGAATTATTACTCCAACTTGACATGGTTGGAGAGTAGACTTTTGTCCTATGTGAGGCACATAAACATGCTTGTAAGAGACAGTTGCGGTTTTATCAGCACAAACAACAGTGGTTTGTTTTGCAAACTACAACAGGGGAGAAACAAATGTTTACCTGGCCCATTAGACTCAGTACAGTCCAGAGTAGAGAGAGGGTGAGGGTCCCATACTCCAGTACTGGTACACTGAGTAGTGTACACATCAGTGGGACCATCTCTACACTGATAGGTAGCAGTACTGCCCACTGCAGTGGAGCTCATGTTGACTATGATGGCGTCTGTTGACTTCAATGTTGGACATTCAACTGTATGTGCAATATTTAAAAGAAAATTGGACAACACTTTCAGCAACCTTACTTGAAACTATGGTGATATCCACAGTGGTGTTCATAGTAGCAGTGGAGCGAGGGAGAGTAGCTACACAGGTGTATATCCCAGTCATATTCCTGGTGGTAGTCACTATATCAAGTTCCCCACTCTCACTGACCATCTTTCCATCAGGAGAGATCCATTGTAAAGTTGGTTGAGGGTCTGAGTTTGACCCATCACACAATAGATGTAGTGACTTCCTTCAGTAACCTCTGTTTCCCCCATAATTAGTGGAGGGTTTAAAACTGGTGGAGATATATTTAGTGATAGTGAAATCAACTATAATCTCGCGAAGTTTCATACCTTTAAAGAGCAAAACTCCCACTTTACCATGAAAAATTCTCATGGCATAACAATCTCTATATTCGCTAGCTATTTACCTCACAGCATTGTATGTTGTGTTCGAGAACGTACTGAACACACTGCCACTGTCATTCACTATCAGTGTATCTGAATGAATCATGTGGATAATTCTTCACCACTCTTCTCAGGGTGCTGTTGGAAGTAACAACTGTGTCATTCACTATGAACAACACCTCATTATGAAAAGCTAATTGTTGTGTAGTCACATTCGAAGCATACTGTATCCAGGGAGGCATCACATAGATGATGCTGTTATTGACACTGTAAGGTTCACAGTTGTCCCACAATCCTCAGGTCCTGACTCAGACGAGTACACTGAAAGAACAATCATTGAACCAAGCATAGCTGCATATCTTATGGACTGACCACAGCTCCACCAGATCCAGCATATAATCAACACAACTGGTAACGAATCGTAATAAAGAAGGCTCGTGGCACGTGGAGCTTCATAACGGCTTCACCTTTTCCCACTAGCTCCCCATATGAGCGCGAAACATGTGATCGGAACCTGAGTAGAGTGGGGCGGTCGGTGCATCCACATGCGCAGCCAGCGCGCGCGCGATCGATCCGCGATCGTCACATTTCTGCGCATGCGCTCTGTGTGTGGCCGACTCACACTTGGTGTTAGTAGGCATACAGCTACACTACAGATTTCTTGTGTGTAATAAGTCAGTTCACTTAGGTTTGTTTGCTTGTCCTGCGTGCCATGATCTCTTTAGGAGTTCCATAAGCCACATTGACATCCATCTCCAACCTCTCTTCTCTTGTCTTCTGCTCTGATCCTGTGTTGGATAATGACATAGTTCGGATATTGTTGGAGAGTTTGTAGTGTTTCACCTTTCTTTCTAAGAAGTATTATTTTGACAAGTGCTCCCACTAGCAGGAAAGTTTGAACCAAGACAATGTGAGAGAAAATTATTACAAAACCTCACATGGTTGGAGAGGAACATAGATGATGCTGTTATTGACACTGGTAAGGTTCACAGTTGTCCCACAATCCTCAGGTCCTGACTCAGACGAGTACACTGAAAGAACAATCATTGAACCAGCATAGCTAGCTACCTATGAACCTACAACATCTCCACCAGATCCAGCATATCAACACAGTGTAGCGAATCTTAATCAAGAAGGAACATGGCACATGGCGCTTCATTGTGCTTTATCCCTGCCGGCAAAACGCGCCACCACTGATTGCAGCGCAGCGAAATCTCATGCGATCTGACTGCGCATGGGCGCATGGGCCGGACAATAGAGCGGCGAATGTCAAAAACTCATTATGCATGCACACAGCAGTTAAGTAAGAGTTCTTGCAGGTAACGGTGAGGGAAGTTGTTCATCATCAGCTCCACGAGGGGGAAGTGGAGGAGTTGGAGTTAATTCTCTGACCATCAGAGACTCTGGCAGATCGTTGCTCACTTTTATGGGCAGTGAACCTTTCATAAAACCACATATCATAGAGATTACCATGGATTGCACTAAATTGTGAACGAGTCGTAGTTAGCTGGTATACCTGAGACATAGACCTGTCTGAGGGAGTGAGCCAGGTCATGGTGACCAATGCTGTCCACCACATCAGCTATCTCCCTCCACGTGGGCTTGTTGGGGTGGAGGTTGGCCAGCCATCCATCCACCACTTCCACCATTGCCTCACTCTCACTACCCACCTAGACAGAGAGAGATCACAATAAGACAATACATTATTCCCATGGTTGACATACATATTCAGATATTTCGTCCAGCCTCTGTACACCAACTGCCTCTCCCAGTCTCCTCCAGTGAGGAGTGACTTCCTTCAACTGAATGAGGATCTGGTCCAGACTCACCTTTGAATCTGCAGAAAGTGATACACACTATACATAACCGTCTTTCACAACTTTTGCCACTACTACTTGGTTTTAGAGTGCTGTCACTAAAAACCTTTAAAGAATTGAATTGCAAATGACTTTTTGCACGTATATACCAGCAAGTATGGGCTTTAAGAAGGTAGAAGGAATACCTTAAGCGAATTTTCATTGCGGCACAATTATTAGCGCGCATAATTTAGCGGTTTTGCTGATTCCCCCGCTAAATTCGCTAAAATTAGTATATACCCGCAATTAATAGTAACCTTAAGGTATGTAGTATAAAAGGTATACCCTTACAGACCCCCAAAAGTGACAGCACACTTCTGAAGAGTACTACAATAGGCCCTTTTAATGTCTGCTGAGTACAGATATTGACCAGCATACTAAAAAACAATGAGTTCTTTTGACCTAGATCATGTGTTGGAGGAGGTGTCTGAGGAGGTGGTGGTTGTTGGCTGGCCATGGCATTGAGGTCCAGAGCGGCATACTCAACTCTATCTGCAACCAGATCAAAACCACCACCTTCTGTGTTTAGACTCACTTCCACATACAGCAGACCCTAGGAAACAACACAGGCTGGAGTCACATGAGCATGATAGTGTATTTGCATGTACATACATACCTTTAAACCAGTACTACAAACTTGAAAGGTCCTCTTATGAACATGCAAGCACTTTTACGGAGAGTGAAATGAATAACACTGGGCTGGAGTCATCTGCTACACATGCCTTTCAGCAAAAGCTTTTCACAAAAGCTCAGAGTAAACACCACGGTTTTGTTTGGGAAAAGGGGTGGCAGTAGAGAGAGTGTAGAGGGGTGGGCATAATATATTGGCTTGCATGCTGGATACAAGAATATCCACCCACATCGTTGTAAAAAGTTTATACAAGACTTTGAAGCAACTTTTCAGGGCCTGACAGTTGGGGGAAACATGCATTGGCTGAGACAGTCACCTTTTGTTGATTCCCTTGTGGTGGTTTCTGAGCTACTGTTCTGCTGGGTTCAGGTGTCGGGTTTTCTTCCACTGTCTGGACTACACAGTATGCACCAATGAGTCCTGTTGTGTGCTCCGGTACAATAGAGTACTGTCCATTTGGCTTTCTGGTTTCTTGTGGTACTTCCAGGGGCACCAGTGGCTGAGGCACAGGTGGTTGTTTTAGTTCATCCTGCGAGTCAGAATATGACCCAGAATACCTCACTAGTTGGTTCTGGTATGGTCGTGATCATTGAGTACTGTCCCAGGGGAATGGGAGGTGTGGTGGTAGGCTGGGGCTCTGAGGGTTTCCCATTGGGCTCTGAGGGTTTCCCGTTGGGCTCTGCCGGTGTTGTTAGCTGTGACTCTATCACGAAAGACCGCCCATTTAGTGTTGTTGTTGCTGTTGTTCCTTCTGATGTTTTCTTGACCACAGGCAAGTACTGGGAATTTTTCACTGCCATTTGTTGCTCTTTATTACTATGGTTTCTAAAAAAACAAGAGACATCATAGTTCAAGTACTGTGTTAGCTTCAACCCTTTTCTAGTGTAGCTCTAAGCGTATTCTAAGCACGTATAGTCCTGGAAGTGAGAGTGCCAATTAATTCACATGAACAGCATTGTAATTGTACATGCTCAGCTTTCAAAGGATACTATCATGGATGTCTACTATACATGACTAAAACTCGACTGTACTTAGTCTGTATGTATGTTCATTACCTATTTTCTCTCAGAAGGTACTGTTCTCTCTTTTCTATTATATATGGCATCAAGAAAATTTGGGAGTCAAACATAAACAGAACAGGTATTGGAAGGGGACTTACTCCTGCTTCTCCTGCAGACACACACTGCAGTTATCACAGCACAGTTGGTGACGCAGCAGAGCAGGAGAAGTCCCACTACCCCTGCTCCCCACGGTAGCCACTTCCCTGAAAGAATCATGCAGTATAAACAGATGCGTTTGACTAAACATTGATTTATGCTGTTTTAAATACCTGTTTCTTTCGATGTGCAGTCAGGGCTAGGGTCCCATACTCCAGTACTGGTACACTGAGTAGTGTACACATCAGTGGGACCATCTCTACACTGATAGGTAGCAGTACTGCCCACTGCAGTGGAGCCCATCACCACAATGACTGTGTCCGTAGAATTTAGCCTTTCACATGAAACTGAAAATTAGAAAAGAGCAGCATCTATTTTTTAAAACTGTGCTAAGTGAATATACCTGTCTCTTTACTACAGTCCAGAGTAGAGAGAGGGTGAGGGTCCCATACTCCAGTACTGGTACACTGAGTAGTGTACACATCAGTGGGACCATCTCTACACTGATAGGTAGCAGTACTGCCCATCTTCAGTGGAGCTCATCATTACAATGACTGTGTCGGTTGAATTTAGCTTTTCACATGAAACTGAAAATTAGAAAAGAGCAAGCATCTATTTTTAAACCTGTGCTAAGTGAATCATACCTGTCTCTTTACTACAGTCCAGAGTAGAGAGAGGGTGAGGGTCCCATACTCCAGTACTGGTACACTGAGTAGTGTACACATCAGTGGGACCATCTCTACACTGATAGGTAGCAGTACTGCCCACTGCAGTGGAGCTCATGTTGACTATCATGGTATCCGTAGAATTAAGTGTTGGACAGTCACTATAAAGTGCAACATTAAGGACAACAACACTATTAGAACACACTTACTTGGCAGAATTGTGATTTCAGACAGTGGAGATCATAGTAGCGGTGGAGCGAGGGAGAGTAGCTCACAGGTGTATATCCCAGTCATATTCCTGTGGTAGTCACTATATCAATGTTCCCCACTCTCATGACCACCCTTCCCATCAGGAGAGATCCATGTAAAGTGGTGAGGATCTGAGTTTGACCCATCACAATATAGATGTAGTGGACTTCCCTCAGTAACTCTGTTTCCCCCATAATGGATGGAGGGTTGAAAACTGGTGGAGATATTTTAGTGATAGTGATACCAACTATAATCTAATTAGTTAATACCTTTAAAGAACAAAACTCCCACTTTTACCATGAAACAATTCCCACTGCATGACCATGAACCACTGGTAGCAACCTCACAGCATCGTATGGTTGTGTTCGAGAATGTACTGAACACACTGCCACTGTCATTCACTACCAGTGTATCTGAAGCGTTATGCATATAATTCTTCACGACTCTTCCCAGAGTGCTGCTTGGAGTAACAACTGTGTCATTCACCCTGAACACCACTTCATTAGTGAGAAATAAAATTTGTGTGTAGCTACATTCGAAGCATACTGTATCCAGGGAGGCATTCACATAGATGATGGTGTTATTGACACTGGTAAGGTTCACAGTTGTCCCACAATCCACAGGTCCTGGCTCAGACGAGTAGACTGAAGCAAAACATTGAACAAGCATAGCTTCATATCTTATGGACTTACCACAGCTCCACCAGATCCAGCATATCAACACAAAGTGGTAACGAACCGTAATCAAGAAGGCTCGTGGCACGTGGAGCTTCATAACGGCTTCACCTTTTCCCACTAACTCCCAATATGAGCGTGAGACATGTGATCGTGATGTTGGAGCACAGGAGTAGTGGGGGGCGGTCGGTTGAGGTTTTCACAGCGCGCGATCATCGTCACATTTTTGCGCATGCGCTCTGTGTGTGGCCGACGCACACTTGTGGACGCTCGTAGTGCGACACGGTTTCTTGTGTGTAATAAGTCAGTTCACTTAGGTTGTTGCTTGTCCTGCGTGCCATGATCTCTTTAGGAGTACCATAAGCCACATTGACATCCATCTCCAACCTCTCTTCTCTTGTCTTCTGCTCTGATCCTGTGTTGGAGTTATGACATAGTTCGGACATTGTTGGACAGTTTGCAAAGTGTTTCACCTTTCTTGTAAGAAGTACTATTTCACAAGTGCTCCCACTAGCAGACCAGTTTGAACCAAGACAACGAGAGAGAGAATTATTACCCCAACTTTGACATGGTTGAGAGTAGACATTTGTCCTGTGTGAGGCACATAAACATGTTTGTAAGAGACAGTTGCGGTTTTATCAGCACAAACAACAGCAGTTTGTTTTGCAAACTACAACGGGGAGAAACAAATGTTACCTGGCCCATTAGACTCAGTACAGTCCAGAGTAGAGAGAGGGTGAGGGTCCCATACTCCAGTACTGGTACACTGAGTAGTGTACACATCAGTGGGACCATCTCTACACTGATAGGTAGCAGTACTGCCCACTGCAGTGGAGCTCATGTTGACTATCATGGTATCCGTAGAATTAAGTGTTGGACAGTCAACTATAAAGTGCAAAATAAAAAATAGCAACAACACTTTCAGCAACCTTACTTGAAACTATGGTGATATCCACAGTGGTGTTCATAGTAGCAGTGGAGTGAGGGAGAGTAGCTACACAGGTGTATATCCCAGTCATATTCCTGGTGGTAGTCACTATATCAAGTTCCCCACTCTCACTGACCATCTTCCCATCAGGAGAGATCCATTGTAAAGTTGGTTGAGGGTCTGAGTTTGACCCATCACACAATAGATGTAGTGGACTTCCTTCAGTAACCTCTGTTTCCCCCATAATGGATGGAGGGTTGAAAACTGGTGGAGATATTTTAGTGATAGTGATACCAACTAAAATCTAATTAGTTACATACCTTTAAAGAGCAAAACTCCTACTTTTGCCATGAAAAAATTCCCATTGCATGAACCATTGGTAAAAACCTCACAGCATTGTATGTTTGTATCCCAGAATGTACTGAACACACTGCCACTGTCATTCACTACCAGTGTATCTGAATGACTATGTGGATATTTCTTCACCACTCTTCCCAGGGTGCTGTTGGCAGTAACATTTGTGTCATTCACCCTGAACACCACCTCATTAATGAGACCCAATACTTGTGTGTGGTCACATTCGAAGCATACTGTATCCAGGGAGGCATTCACATAGATGATGCTGTTATTGCCACATGTAAGGTGTCCACAGTTGTCCCACAATCCCCAGGGTCCTGGCTCAGATGAGTAGCTGTAGAACAGATGCATTGTGCAGCACAGCTAGCTACTCTGTAGACCTACACAACAGCTCCACCAGATGCCAGCATATCAACAGCAAGTCGTAGCGAATTTTCAATCTCGACGACCATGCCACATGGCGGCTTACATTGTGCTTACCCTGCGCGCTAGACGCCCTCACACTGCGTGCAGCGCTAACGAAATCGCTGACTGCGCATGCGCATGGTCGCATGGGCACGGCGTGCCTCTCAGAGCGTGCTGAATGTCAAAAATCACTCAACCAGCTTAGCTATAGTTAGGCTACCTCTATGCACCTGCACACAGCTCACCTATCAGTTCTATGCACACAGTGAAACTAACGGTGAGGGAGTTGTTTCATCATTAGCTCCACGAGGGAAGTGGGAGGGTTGGATTTTAATTCTCTGACCACCAAGACTCTGGCGATCGTTGCTCACTTTTAATGGTCAGTGAACCTTCATAAACAACATACCATAGAGATTACCCAATGGATGCCACTATTGTTGAACGAAAGCATAGTTAGCTGGTATACCTGAGCTTGAGACTGTCTGAGGTGTGAGCCAGGTCATGGTGACAATGCGCCACCACATCACTATCCCCCCCCCCTCCACATAGGCTTGTTGGGTGAGGTTGGCCAGCCATCCTTCCCCACCTCCACCATTGCCTCACATCTCCACTACCCACCTGACGAGAGAGAGCAAATAAGACAATCCTTATTCCCTGGTTGACATACATATTCAGAACGATGTGGTCCAGGCCTCTGTACACCAACTGCTCTCCCAGCTCTTCCAGGGAGGAGTGAACTCTCTCACTGAATGAGGATCTTGTCACGACTCACCTTGAATCTGCAGAAGAGATACACACTATACATACACCGCTCTTTCACAACTTTGCAGACTAGTACTTGGTTTAGAGTGCTGCATTCACTAAAACCTTTAAGAGCAATGACTCCTTTGCACGTATTAAACAGGCAAGTAGGGCTTTAAGAAAGTAGAAGGAATACTCAGAGTAGTATAAAAGGTATACCTTACAGACCACCACAAGTGACAGCGCACACTTCTGAAGAGTCGACAATAGGCCCTTTGAATATCTGCTGATATTATATGACCAGCATACTAAAAAACAATGAGTAGCTGTTGACTAAAGGAATCATGTGTTGGATGAGGATATCTGCTGATCGTATATCTGTACATGTTATATTGACCAGCATACTCACGAAACAAACCATGAGTTAGCTAGATTATGTGTTGACCAGGAGGATGTCTGAGGAGCGGTGGTGGTTGTGGCTGGCCAATTTGTGTGAGGCTTGAGTCCAGAGCGGCATACTCGACTCTATCTGCAACCAGACCACACACACCGTCCTTCTGTGTTTAGACGCACGCTTCTCACATACACGCCGACCCTAGAGAAACAACACAGCTGAGAGTCACATGAGCATGATAGTGTGCATTGGATGTTGTACAGTACATACCTTCTAAACCACGGTACTACAAACTTGGAAAGGTCCTCTGATGACATGCAAGCACTATATGGAAGTGAAATGAATAACACTCCTGGGCTGGAGTGTTATCTGCTACACATTCCTTTCATTCAAAAGCTTTTTCACAAAACTCCAATAAACACCACAGTTTTTGTTTAGGGAAAAGGGGTGGCAGTAGAGGAGTGTAGAGGGGTGGGGCATAATATATTGGCTTGCATGCTGGATACAAGAATATCCAACCCACATCGTTGTACAATTTATAATAACAAGACTTTGAAGCAACTTTTCAGGGCCTTACAGTTGGGAAAGCATGCTTGGCCTGAGACAGTCACTTTTGTTGATTTCCCTGTGTGGTGGTTTCTTAGCTAACTGTTCTGCTGGGTTCAGTGTTTGGGTTTTCTTTCTTCCAATCCCACCGTCTGGACTTACACAGTATGCCCCTATTAGAGGAAAGTGGGGAGGGTAGGGTGGTCCAAGAAGGTAGGGTGAGTGAGGACATGGTTGGTAAAGGAGGGGTAGGTTTATGTAAGGTAGTAGTTTTAGGAGTGGTTACAGGGAGTGTTCGAGAGAGGTGCTTTCCTCCTTCCTCTTTTTTCTTCTTCTCTTCCCCTTTTTGGCAGGAACTCTTTATTTAGCAGTCCGTTAGGTTGGTTCTGTTGTGTTCTCCGTCCAATAGAGTACTGTTCCCTTATGGCTTTCTGTTTCTTGTGGTACTTTCCATGGGCACTCAGTGGCTGAGGCCAGGTGGTTGTTTTTAGTTCATCCTTCGAGTCAGAATATGACTCAGAATACTCGACTAGTTTGTTCTGGTATGGGTCGTGATCATTTGAGTAATGTCCCCCAGGGGAATGGGGGTGGTGGTGGTATGCTGGGGCTCTGAGGGTTTTTCCCCTTGGGCTCCTGAGGTTTCCCGTTGGGCTCTGCCGGTGTGGTAGCTGTGTCCTCTATCAACAGAAGAACCGCCCATTTAGTGTTGTTGTTGCTGTTGTTCCTTCTGATGTTTCTCTTGACACAGCAGTACTGGGAATTTTCACTGCATTTGTGCTCTGTATTACTATGGTTCTAAAAACACAAGAGACATCATAGTTCCAGTACGGTGTAGCTTCAACCCTTTCTAAGTGTGCATAGCCTAGTCTAAGCACGTATAGTCCTGGAAGAGTGAGAGTGCCAATTAATTCACATGAACAGCATTGTAATGTACATGCTCAGCTTTCAAAGGATACTATCATGATGTCTACTATACATGACTAAAACTCGACTGTACTCAGTCTGTATGTATGTTCATTACCTATTTTTCTCTCAGAAGGTACTGTTTTTCTTTTCTATTATATATGGCAGCAAGAAAATTTGGGAGTCAAACATAAACAGAACAGGTATTGGAAGGGGACTTACTCCTTCTTCTCCTGCAGACACATACTGCAGTTATCACAGCACAGTTGGTGACGCAGCAGAGCAGGAGAAGTCCCACTACCCCTGCTCCCCACGGTAGCCACTTCCCTGAAAGAATCATGCAGTATAAACAGATGCGTTTGACTAAACACAGATTTATTCTGCTTTAGAATACCCGTTTCTTTCGATGTGCATTCAGGGCTAGGATCCCATACTCCAGTACTGGTACACTGAGTAGTGTACACATCAATGGGACCATCTCTACACTGATAGGTAGCAGTACTGCCCACTGCAGTGGAGCTCATCATAACAATGACGGTGTCCGTAGAATTTAGCCTTTCACATGAAACTGAAAATTAGAAAAGAGCAGCATCTATTCTTTAAACCTGTGCTAAGTGAATATACCTGTCTCTTTACTACAGTCCAGAGTAGAGAGAGGGTGAGGGTGCCATACTCCAGTACTGGTACACTGAGTAGTGTACACATCAGTGGGACCATCTCTACACTGATAGGTAGCAGTACTGCCCTCTTCAGTGGAGCTCATGTTGACTATCATGGTATCCGTAGAATTAAGTGTTGGACAGTCAACTATAAAGTGCAAATAAGGACAACACTATTAGAACTAAAACTTACTTGGCAGAATTATCTTAATATCGACAGTGGAGATCATAGTAGCGGTGGAGCGAGGGAGAGTAGCTACACAGGTGTATATCCCAGTCATATTCCTGGTGGTAGTCACTATATCAAGTTCCGCACTCTCATTGACTGTCTTCCCATTAGGAGAGATCCATTGTAAAGTTGGTTGAGGATCTGAGTTTGACCCATCACAATATAGATGTAGTGGACTTCCCTCAGTAACCTCTGTTTCCCCCATAATGGATGGAGGGTTGAAAACTGGTGGAGATATTTTAGTGATAGTGATATCAACTATAATCTAATTAGTTAATACCTTTAAAGAACAAAACTCCCACTTTTACCATGAAACAATTCCCACTGCATGACCATGAACCTTTGGTAAAAACCTCGCAGCATTGTATGTTTGTATCCCAGAATGTACTGAACACACTGCCACTGTCATTCACTACCAGTGTATCTGAAGCGTTAGGCATATAATTCTTCACGACTCTTCCCAGAGTGCTGCTTGGAGTAACAACTGTGTCATTCACCCTGAACACCACTTCATTAGTGAGAAATAAAATTTGTGTGTAGCTACATTCGAAGCATACTGTATCCAGGGAGGCATTCACATAGATGATAGTGTTATTGACACTGGTAAGGTTCACAGTTGTCCCACAATCCACAGGTCCTGACTCAGACGAGTAGACTGAAGCAAAACATTGAATCAAGCATAGCTACATATTTTATGGACTTACCACAGCTCCACCAGATCCAGCATATCAACACAAAGTGGTAACGAACCGTAATCAAGAAGGCTCGTGGCACGTGGAGCTTCATAACGGCTTCACCTTTTCCCACTAACTCCCCAATATGAGCGTGAGACATGTGATCGTGATGTTGGGAGCCGGAGTAGTTGGGGCGGTCGGTGCATCCACGAGTTTTTCACGCGCGCGATCGTCACATTTTTTGCGCATGCGCGCTGTGTGTGGTCGGCTGTTCATTTGCACACTTCGTGTGTACACTTCTGTTAGTGGGCATACAGCTACACTGTTTTCTTGTGTGTAATAAGCCAGTTCACTTAGGTTTGTTTGCTTGTCCTGCCGTGCCATGATCTCTTTAGGAGTACCATAAGCCACATTGACATCCATCTCCAACCTCTCTTCTCTTGTCTTCTGCTCTGATCCTGTTTTGGAGTTATGATGACATAGTTCGGATATTGTTGGAGAGTTTGCAAAGTATTTCACCTTTCTTTGTAAAAAGTACTATTTTCACAAGTGCTCCCACTAGTAGGCCAGTTTGAACCAAGACAACGAGAAAGATAATTATTACCCCAACTTGACATGGTTGGAGAGTAGACATTTGTCCTATGTGAGGCACATAAACATGTTTGTAAGAGACAGTTGCGGTTTTATCAGCACAAACAACAGCGGTTTGTTTTGCAAACTACAACAGGGGAAAAACAAATGTTTACCTGGCCCATTAGACTCAATACAGTCCAGAGTAGAGAGAGGGTGAGGGTCCCATACTCCAGTACTGGTACACTGAGTAGTGTACACATCAGTGGGACCATCTCTACACTGATAGGTAGCAGTACTGCCCACTGCAGTGGAGCTCATGTTGACTATCATGGTATCCGTAGAATTTAGTGTTGGACAGTCAACTATAAAGTACAAACATTTTAAAAAAGTACAACAACACTTTCAGCAACCTTACTTAGAAAAATGGTGATGTCGACAGTGGAGATCATAGTAGCGGTGGAGTGAGGGAGAGTAGCTACACAGGTGTATATCCCAGTCATATTCCTGGTGGTAATCACTATATCAAGTTCCCCACTCTCACTGACCATCTTCCCATCAGGAGACATCCATTGTAAAGTTGGTTGAGGGTCTGAGTTTGACCCATCACACAATAGATGTAACGTATTGCCTTCAGTAACCTCTGTTTCCCCAATAATGGATGGAGGGTTGAAAACTGGTGGTGATATTTTAGTGATAGTGATACCAACTAAAATCTACCGTAGCTACATACCTTTAAAGAGCAAAACTCCTACTTTTGCCATGAAAAAGGTTCCATTGCAAAAACGTTTCTCACAGCATTGTATGTTTGTATCCCAGAATGTACTGAACAGACTGCCACTGTCATTCACTACCAGTGTAGCTATCTGAATAATCATGCATATATTTCTTCACGACTCTTCCCAGGGTGCTGTTGGCAGTAACATTTGTGTCATTCACCCTGAACACCACCTCATTAATGAGACCGAATAATTGTGTGTAGTCACATTCGAAGCATACTGTATCCAGGGAGTCATCCACATAGATGATGGTGTTATTGACACTGGTAAGGTTCACAGTTGTCCCACAATCCTCAGGTCCTGGCTCAGACGAGTACACTGTACAAAGATTCAAACCAAGCACGTTGTCAGCATAAATACTCTGTAGACTTACCACAGCTCCACCAGAGCCAACAAATTAAAAAGTAAGTGGAGAACATTTCGCATGAAGAACGCTTCATTCTGCCACTGTGTGCTAGACGCCCCCTGCCGTAGGCAAAAATGTAGAGCGTATGCGCAATTTCTCAACACCGGACGTGCCGCTCAGACGACTGAAAGTAAAATCATTCAACCAGGCTTAGCTATAGCTTAGCTACCTAGCTATGAATCTACCACAGCTCCACCAGATCAGGCATATCAACACAGTGTAACGAATCTTAATCAAGAAGGAACCAACCACATGGCGCTTCATTGCCCCCCGTCTGCAAACGCGCCACCACTGCGGCGAAAATTTTTATTTGCGCATGCGCATTATGCGATCTGACTGCGCGCGCGAGGGTGCAGACAATAGAGGGCGAATGTCAAAAACTCCTATAATGCACACAGCATCTAAGTATGACTATGTAAAAGTTCTTGCAGGTAATAGTGGAGGAAATATTTCATCATCAGCTCCACGAGGGGGAAGTGGAGGAGTTAGGATTTAATTCTCTGACCACCAGAGACTCTGGCAGATCGTTGCTCACTTTCATGGGCAGTGAACCTTTCATAAAACAACATATCATCGAGATTACCATGGATTGCACTAAATTATGAACGAGTCGTAGTTAGCTGGTATACCTGAGACATAGACCTGTCTGAGGGAGTGAGCCAGGTCATGGTGACCAATGCTGTCCACCACATCAGCTATCTCCATCCACGTGGGCTTGTTAGGGTGGAGGTTGGCCAGCCATCCATCCACCACTTCCACCATTGCCTCACTCTCACTACCCACCTGGACAGAGAGAGATCACAATAAGACAATACATTATTCCCATGGTTGACATACATATTCAGATATTTCGTCCAGCCTCTGTACACCAACTGCCTCTCCGAGTCTCCTCCAATGAGGAGTGACTTCCTTCAACTGAATGAGGATCTGGTCCAGACTCACCTTTGAATCTGCAGAAAGTGATACACACTATACATAACCGTCTTTCACAACTTTTGCCACTACTACTTGGTTTTAGAGTGCTGTCACTAAAAACCTTTAAAGAATTGAATTGCAAATGACTTTTTGCATGTATATACCAGCAAGTATGGCTTTAAGAAGGTAGAAGGAATACCTTAAGCGAATTTTCATTGCGGCACAATTATTAGCGCGCATAATTTAGTGGTTTTGCTGATTCCCCCGCTAAATTCGCTAAAATTAGTATAATTATACCCGCAATTAATAGTAACCTTAAGGTATGTAGTATAAAAGGTATACCCTTACAGACCCCCAAAAGTGACAGCACACTTCTGAAGAGTACTACAATAGGCCCTTTTAATGTCTGCTGAGTACAGATATTGACCAGCATACTCAAAAACAATGAGTTCTTTTGACCTAGATCATGTGTTGGAGGAGGTGTCTGAGGAGGTGGTGGTTGTTGGCTGGCCATGGCATTGAGGTCCAGAGCGGCATACTTGACTCTATCTGCAACCAGACCAAAACCACCACCTTCTGTGTTTAGACTCACTTCCACATACAGCAGACCCTAGGAAACAACACGGACTGGAGTCACATGAGCATGATAGTGCATTTGCATGTACATACAAACCTTGAAACCTGTACTACAAACTTGAAAGGTCCTCTTATGAACATGCAAGCACTTTTATGGAGATTGAAATGAATAACACTGGGCTGGAGTTATCTGCTACACATGCCTTTCAGCAAAAGCTTTTCACAAAAGCTCAGAGTAAACACCACGGTTTTGTTTGGGAAAAGGGGTGGCAGTAGAGAGAGTGTAGAGGGGTGGGCATAGTATAGTGGCTTGCATGCTGGATACAAGAATATCCACCCACATTGTTGTAAAAAGTTTATTATACAAGACTTTCATTTAACTTTTCAACAGTTGGGGAAAACGTGCATTGGCTGAGACAGTCACCTTTTGTTGATTCCCTTGTGGTGGTTTCTGAGCTACTGTTCTGCTGGGTTCAGGTGTCGGGTTTTCTTCCACCGTTTGGACTACACAGTATGCACCAATGAATCCTGTTGTGCGCTCTGAATATTGCTGCTGTCCATTTGGTTTCTGGTTTCTTGTGGTACTTCTGGTGGCTGAGGCACAGGTGGTTGTTTTAGTTCGTCCTGCGAGTCAGAATATGACCAGAATACCTCACTAGTTGGTTCTGGCATGGTCGTGATCATTGAGTACTGTCCCAGGGGAATGGGAGGTGTGGTGGTAGGCTGGGGCTCTGAGGGTTTCCCATTGGGCTCTGAGGGTTTCCCGTTGGGCTCTGCCGGTGTTGTTAGCTGTGACTCTATCACGAAAGACCGCCCATTTAGTGTTGTTGTTGCTGTTGTTCCTTCTGATGTTTTCTTGACCACAGGCAAGTACTGGGAATTTTTCACTGCCATTTGTTGCTCTTTATTACTATGGTTTCTAAAAAACAAGGGACATCATAGTTCAACTACTGTGTTAGCTTCAATCCTTTTCTAGTGTAGCTCTAAGCGTATTCTAAGCACGTATAGTCCTGGAAGTGAGAGTGCCAATAATTCACATGAACAGCATTGTAATTGTACATGCTCAGCTTTCATAAAGGATACTATCATGGATGTCTACTATACATGACTAAAACTCGACTGTACTCAGTCTGTATGTATGTTCATTACCTATTTCTCTCAGAAGGTACTTTTTTCTCTTTTCTATTATATATGGCATCAAGAAATTTGGGAGTCAAACATAAACAGAACAGGTATTGGAAGGGGACTTACTCCTGCTTTTCCTGCAGACAACACACTGCATTTATCACAGCACCGTTGGTGAAGCAGCAGAGCAGGAGAAGTCCCACTACCTGCTCCCCACGGTAGCCACTTCCCTGAAAGAATCATGGCAGTATAAACAGATGCGTTTGACTAAACTGATTATGGCTTAGAATCCGTTTCTTTGAGTGCAGTAGGTGATGTCCAAGTACTGGTACCTGAGTTTACACATCGTGGGATCTCTACACTGATAGGTAGAATGCCACTGCAGTGGAGCACTCCTGTGTCCGTAGATTTCTTCACATAAACTGATACAAAAGAGCTATCTACGTGAACATACCTGTCTCTTACTACAGTCCAGAGTAAGAGAGGGTGAGGGTCCCATACTCCAGTACTGGTACACTGAGTAGTGTACACATCAGTGGGACCACCTCTACACTGATAGGTAGCAGTACTGCCCACTGCAGTGGAGCTCATGTTGACTATGATGGCGTCTGTTGACTTCAATGTTGGACATTCAACTGTATGTGCAATATTCAAAAGAAAATGGGACAACACTTTCAGAAACCTTACTTGAAAGTATGGTGATATCCACAGTGGTGTTCATAGTAGCAGTGGAGCGAGGGAGAGTAGCTACACAGGTGTATATCCCAGTCATATTCCTGGTGATAGTCACTATATCAAGTTCCCCACTCTCACTGACCATCTTCCCATTAGGAGAGATCCATTGTAAAGTTGGTTGTGGGTCTGAGTTTGAGCCATTACACAATAGATGTACGTATTGCCTTCAGTAACCCCCATAATGGACTGAGGGTTGAAATATGGTGGAGATATTGTAGTGATAGTGATACCAACTAAACTCTAATTAGTTACATACCTTTAAAGAGCAAAACTCCTACTTTTGCCACGAAAAATTCCCATTGCATGAACCTTTGGTAAAAACCTCACAGCATTGTACGTTTGTGTCAGAGAATGCACTGAACAGACTGCCACTGTCATTCACTACCAGTGTATCTGAATAATCACGCGTATATTCCTTCACGACTCTTCCCAGAGTGCTGCTGGAAGTAATATGTGTGTCATTCACCCTGAACACCACCTCACTAATGAGACGAAAATTGTGTGTAGTCACATTCGAAGCATACTGGTATCCAGGGAGGCATCCACATAGATGATGGTGTTATTGACACTGGTAAGGTTCACAGTTGTCCCACAATCCTCAGGTCCTAGCTCGGACGAGTAGACTGAAGCAAAACATTGAACCAAGCATAGCTGCATATCTTACGGACTTACCACAGCTCCACCAGATCCAGCATATCAACACAAAGTGGTAACGAACCGTAATCAAGAAGGCTCGTGGCACGTGGAGCTTCATAACGGCTTTACCTTTTCCCACTAGCTCCGGCTCCCCATATGAGCGTGAGACATGTGATGTTAGTAGTGGGGGGCGGTCGGTGCATCCACGCGCGCAAATATGGCACGCCGTTTGTCACAAATCCTAACCGCGGGATTTTAAGCATAAATTCCGGCATTCTAAGCGCGTCGAAACGCCGCTAGTATTATAAGCGTCGCTAAAACCGGCATTCTAAGGGCGTCGACGCGCCGCTAGAATCCAGAGTAGATCCGTGTTACATTTTTCCTCATTCCCGGAGCAAAGCTTTCCTGACTTACATTATAATGCTGGCTGCTTGACCGGCCGGGAATGAGGGAAAATGTAACACGGATCTACCCTGGATTCTAGCGGCGCGTCGACGCCCTTAGAATGCCGGTTTTATAATCCGGCATTATAAGGTACGTTATAATCCGGGATTATAAGGAAAGTTTAGTCCGGGAATAAGGAAAATGTAACACGGATGACAGAAACGTGATCCGGGATTCTAGCGGCGTTTCGACGCGCTTAGAATGCCGGAATTTAGGCTTAAAATCCCGGATTTGAGCGGTTAGGATTTTGTGACAAACGGCGTGCATAACGCGCAGTCAGCGCGCGATCGATCCGGCGACCGTCGCATTTTTGCGCATGCGCTCTGTGTGTGGCCGACGCAAACGTGTTAGCGTCGCGCATACAGCTACACCGTTTTCTTGTATGTAATAAGCCAGTTCATTTAGGTTTGTCTGCTTGTCCTCCGTGCCATGATCTCTTTAGGAGTACCATAAGCCACATTGACATCCATCTCCAACCTCTCTTCTCTTGTCTTTTTCTCTGATCCTGTGTTGGAGTTATATCATAGTTCGGATATTGCTGGACAGTTTGCAAATGTCTCACCTTTCTTTGTAAGAAGTACTATTTTCACAAGTGCTCCCACTAGCAGACCAGTTTGAACCAAGCAATGAGAGAGAGAATTATTACTTACTACTCCAATTTGACATGGTTGAAGAGTAGCGTTGTCCTGTGAGGCACATAACAGTTTGTAACAGTTGCAGTTTTATCAGCACAAACAATAGCAGTTTGTTTTGCAAACTACAACAGGGGAGAAACAAATGTTTACCTGGCCCATTAGACTCGGTACAGTCCAGAGTAGAGAGGGGGTGAGGGTGCCATACTCCAGTACTGGTACACTGAGTAGTGTACACATCAGTGGGACCATCTCTACACTGATAGGTAGCAGTACTGCCCACTTCAGTGGAGCTCATGTTGACTATCATGGTATCCGTAGAATTTAGTGTTGGACAGTCAACTATAAAGTGCAAATACAATAGGGCAACACTATTAGAACTAAAACTTACTTGGCAGAATTATCTTAATATCCACAGTGGTGTTCATAGTAGCAGTGGAGCGAGGGAGAGTAGCTACACAGGTGTATATTCCAGTCATATTCCTGGTGGTAGTCACTATATCAAGTTCCCCACTCTCACTGACCATCTTCCCATCAGGAGAGATCCATTGTAAAGTTGGTTGAGGGTCTGAGTTTGACCCATCACACGATAAATGTAGTGGACTTCCTTCAGTCACCGCTGTTTCCCCCATAATGGATGGAGGGCTGAAAACTGGTGGAGATATTTTAGTGATAGTGATACCAACTATAATCTACCGTAGTTACATACCTTTAAAGAGCAAAACTCCTACTTTGGCCATGAAAAACGCATTGCATAAACGTTTCTCACAGCATTGTATGTTTGTATCCGAGAATGTACTGAACACACTGCCACTGCCATTCACTACCAGTGTATCTGAATCATTATGCGTATATTTCTTTACGACTCTTCCCAGGGTGCTGTTGGAAGTAACATTTATGCCATTCACCCCAAACACCACCTCATTAATGAAACTGTAAAATTGTGTGTAGTCACATTCGAAGCATACTGTATCCAGGGAGGCATCCACATAGATGATGGTGTTATTGACACTGGTAAGGTTCACAGTTGTCCCACAATCCTCAGGTCTTGGCTCAGATGAGTAGACTGAAAGAACAATCATTGAAACAGCATAGCTAGCTACCTATGAACCTACCACATAGCCACCAGATCCAGCATATCAACACAGTTAAACGAATCTTAATGAAGAAGCCACGTGGCACATGGTGCTTCATTGCAAGTTAGCCCTTGTTGGGCAAAGCGAGCGGGCCACCACTGATTTCTCAGCGCGGCGTAACAATTGTTATTTGCGCATGCGCGTTAAGCGACTGACATGACTAGGCCGAGGAGTTTTATTCTACTGCTGGATTCTTCCATTATGTTGAATTTATGCTCCTCTTGTTACTAAATATTATGCTTAAATTTCTGACACAACACAAAGCAAAAAAACAGTCAATGTCATTTTTGGTTGACGGAATTAGTATGTCTCTTGTAAACTTCCGCTGTTGGGCATCTTTGAGATTTCTGTGGTGCGTTGAGTCAATCAAGTAACGATGGAGCCGGATCGCTCTCTACCTCAGAAACTGACGAATGAGTGTTCACAGTGTTTGAGCTAATCGAGCCAGTCGCGTATTATACGCGCGCACGCATATGTCGGGTGATAAGATTCGAGCAGCCCAAAAAATTCCCAAATCATAATTTCCTCACCCCTAGATCTGACTGCACAATAGGCGCGGACAATAGAGCGGCGAATGTCAAAAACTCATATTATGCACACAGCAGCTAAGTAAGACTATGTAAAAGTTCTTGCAGGTAACGGTGAGGGAAGTTGTTCATCATCATCAGCTCCACGAGGGGGAAGTGGAGGAGTTGGAGTTAATTCTCTGACCATCAGAGACTCCGGCAGGTCATTGCTCACTTTTATTGGCAGTGAACCTTTCATAAAACAACATGTAGTAGATCATAAAGATTACCATGGATTACAGCAAATGAGAAACATTGTGAATGAGTGTAGTTAGCTGGTAGCTATACCTGAGACATAGACCTGTCTCACACCACATTTTACCAAGGCATGTAGAAAAACCATGTGATGCCAAGAGAAAAAAGATGCGGAGCTCTGGACAGCTGTTTCGGGTTTGTTGGCCCTCATCAGCAGAGCATACCACAACTTCTATCTCTGGCATCACGAGTTTATAAAGGCTGACATGAGCATGCACACTTTGTCCACGTGTGGGGCAAATCACCTGAGATGTAGACCTGTCTGAGGGAGTGAGCCAGGTCATGGTGACCAATGCTGTCCACCACATCAGCTATCTCCCTCCAGGTGGGCTTGTTGGGGTGGAGGTTGGCCAGCCATCCATCCACCACCTCCACCATTGCCTCACTCTCACTACCCACCTGGACAGAGAGAGATCACAATAAGACAATACATTATTCCCATGGTTGACATACATATTCAGATATTTCGTCCAGCCTCTGTACACCAACTGCCTCTCCCAGTCTCCTCCAGTGAGGAGTGACTTCTCTCACTGAATGAGGATCTGGTCCAGACTCACTTCCAAATCTGTAGAAAGCAACATAATAGCATATACAGCAGTTATGGTCTTCTGATTGTAACACTTTGTCAACCAGCAGCCTACCTGGATCCTGCAGAGGCTCTGCTGCTGGTGGTACTGCCCTCACTGTGGCAGTGTGGGTCCAGAGAGGCATACTGGACTCTGTCTGACTGGGGGTTGAACATTTGTCTGCGAGTCTGAGAGATGTGTGGACCCACCTCTGCATAGACGAGGGTCTAAGACATAGCAGAGAGAGAAATTGGGTAGATATATTGGCTGTGGTAAAATTAACAACTTAACTTAAGCACATTTATGTCAGTCAGTGCATGCTTCTACATCAAAGCACGCAAGAATAGACGATGTGCTTCTGAGTACACATGAAACGTTTCTTCTATGTGTGTTATGCAAACGTCATAGTGATAATAGACCGTAAGAATGGCAAAACATGGTGCTGACTCTTTGGGGTTAGTGTGAAAATCACAGTGGACGATGTATAAGCATTCCTAGCTAACCTTGACAGTGTGTGGAGGCATAGGAGGTAGTGTGGATGGGGTATTATCAGTATATACACAAGGAAAATGCGTGATTAGCAGGCGACTATGAAACTAAAAGGACACAATTTGTTTTCCAATTGTCGTTATAAAATACTTCCCATATTGAGAGCATTTTGACAAGGTAAATAAACACTAACTACCTCTTTCCTCGTCTCCATGTCTTTCCCCACATTTTACTGCTTCTTGGACCGCAGAGTACTGGTCATTGAGTTCTGTTGTACCATGTGGTTCAACAGGCAGCACTTTGGTCTGTTTTGGCTTCTTTTGGACCACTGCATACTGTGCATTGGGGTCTGGGGACTGATGTGGGTCTGTTTGGACTGGCAGCTCTTTGGCTGAATACAACGGTGTGTGTGGCTCCGTGGTCTCCTGTGGTCCTGCTTCGACCAGAGAGTACTGCCCATTGAGCTCTGTTGTCTCTTGAGGTACTGTCTGAATAACCGAGCACGGTGCTGTCGTCTGCTGCAGCTCCAATGACCTCTGTTGTTTACCTCTCTCTCCAGACACCTCTCCAACACTTTCTGTGTCACTATATACCACACGAATATGAAATAACTATAAACAAAAGGCTATGTATGTATATGAAACTAGCTGTTTGTGCATCCCTCATGTTGCGTACATTGCACCCATGGTGATAGCTACCAAAATGAGTGCTTTTCAAACCTATAGGAGACTGATGTATAAATAGCTAGCTACAGGACGTAGTTCCCTGTTGACATTTTTTTGAATTTCTCATCTGTTTGTTTTTTTAGAGTCCAGGGCCATACATACCAAATATACAATCGTAAAATGCCATGCATTTGTGTATTTTCACCTTTTGTAACTTTGCTTGTAGCATCTTTTGATACCTGCATAATGTTAAAAAACATGCTATTGGATGAGACCACAGACTGGCTAGTGGGCTGACTCGCCTTTCACAGCATGTGCTACTAGTAAGTGTTTGTACTTGTGTCTATCCTAAGACAACGTCTCTAAAAACTGTGGGTCAGCGGCTTACTTGTCCGTCTCCTTAGAACAAACACCACTACAACAACTGTAGTAGTGCAGAGTACCACCACCAGAAGCAGAGTAATAGCCACCCCAAAAATGGCTGGTAGTCCAACATCTCCCGTGCCAGATGACACACCTGTATATAGTAGAGAGTGTGTAGCTTGGATCAAACATAAGTTATTCATTCAGAATATGCAGGGCTGTGTGGCATCTACAAACCTGGATCAGTTTCATTACACTCCCGTGTATAAGGGTAAGGGTCCCATACTCCAGTACTGGTACACTGAGTAGTGTACACATCAGTGGGACCATCTCTACACTGATAGGTAGCAGTACTACCCATTGCAGTGGAGCCCATCATCACAATGACTGTGTCCGTAGAATTTAGCTTTTCACATGTGACTGAAATTAGAAGAGAACATAGTACAATAGGAAGACCTATTCTGTCATATAGAGTTTATTACCTGTCTCTTTACTACACTCCAGTGTATAAGGATGAGGGTCCCATACTCCAGTACTGGTACACTGAGTAGTGTACACATCAGTGGGACCATCTCTACACTGATAGGTAGCATTACTGCCCTCTTCAGTGGAGCTCATGTTCACTATGATAATGTCAGTAGACTTTAGCTTGTCACAGGGGACTGAAGAATGCAGAAAAATGATATATAACCTTTGAAAAAACAAGTCATGATTACTTACAGTGGACTATGATCTCCACAGAGCTGTTCATGGTGAGTGTAAACTGGTTGGCTACACAAGTATAGATCCCTGCCATGTCCCTAGTGACATTACTGATCAGAAGGGGTGAACCGTAAACAAGGAACTCTCCATCAGGAGAGAGCCAATGGACAAGAGGTAGTTGTGGTCTGGAGTTGGAAGAGTCACACATCAGATGTAATGTATCTCCTTCATTGACTGTAGTGTCTCCCGTAATCAGGGGAGCTCTGAGAACTTGAAAGTTGCTGCAGTTGGTATATAATTCACATGTCCCATACATTACTTACTGGTGTGCTCCACAATGACTTGATTAGTCACTCCACCACTGCTACATCGTACATTAGGTGATATATTGAAGACCTCAGTGTCAAACACTACTAGTGTACCATTCACCACAGCAGTTCCCTCACTGACTGGCGAGTTGCCTATCACAAACGTGGCATCAGTAGCTATCACTCCACCAATGATGCACTCAAAACACGTAGTTCCAGAGGGAACATAGACAGTGACTCTATTTGACAGTGGTTTGATTGCTACAGTTGCAGTGCAATTCTCTGGTCCGAGCTCGGAAGAGCTCACTGGATAGAACACCACACTATTAATCCATCATTATGACTCATCATTGGCTTACCACAGCCCCACCAGACACAGACGACCAACAATCCTGGGACACGGAGGAGAAGCATTACTGCCGCTTAGCTAGCTAGCGCGTAAATTGCGCATGCGCAGAGTTCTCGATCTTGGACAAACGCTATGAACAGGTATTATCATCATTTGGTTCAGATCTGCCAGCCTCTTCTTGATCTATAGAATGCACCAGTCTCTCTATCACCAATCTTTTGGCCTGCTCCATGTTGTGCTACACAGGAAAACAACCATTCTATGCAGACCAACACCAGGCTAACACAGATCCTCGTACATTCTAAAGTGTGCTGCGGGAGATATGGCAACAAATGGTGGTTGAGTACGCAATAAAGTTATGCAAAGTGTGAAAGTTTTCAGGCCTGTGTATAGCTAGGTGACTTTGTGAAGTTTAGTTGGAGCTGGACCTGAGAAGCTTGCAGGTGGCTAACCTGAAGGATGTGGATACCTCCAGTGGAGACCACGGCCAGTTCAGAGAGTCCGTCGTGAGTCAGGTCTCCATACCACATACAGTGGATCCTGTGAGCCAGACTGTGCTGCCACACCAAATCTGCCACCATCACATCTCCTTCTACGTACAGTAGAACAAAGGACACTCTGAATAAAGGACACAATAAAGGAATGAGGTGTGTAGGGTATATACTTGTACTCTAGTTCGGAGTGGTTCCAGGGCATGACTTTGAGGTCCCAAATTTTCACTTTTCTATATACAGCACATTTTAAACCTCACAATATTCCTATAAAACGCCTAGTCCAACCAAACGTGTTCATTCTTCAGAGGATACATTCACAAACTTTCTAAGCTGGTTGATGCATAATATCTCCACTTGCCTTTCATTGACAGCTTGTACACCAGAATATCCTTTAAAAAGACAAGATACCCATACAATAATTAGACTGCGTGTTGTGTTAAGTGGGTATAATTATACCTTCCCAAAAGTGCCTAGTACGATCTCCTGCTGGCCGTCCCAGTCGACATCCGCCAGCTCCACACACAGCACACTGTCATGTTTGTGGGAGTCAGGCAGTACCACTGACCTCCCAAAGCCTCCCTCCATCACATTCCTACAGTTTCAGGGCACACTAAACACAAGAAAGACTACAGCTGTGAGTGCCAATTCTTGTATTGTGTGTCTGAGCCTTCATTGGAGCTGATGATCAATTCAGCTCTCAAATGACTTCTAAACTGCATGTTTTGGAGAACTTCACATTGTGATTTGTGTGCATGCTTTCATGCAAGATGTCTTAGTCTCTCACACTATTATAGCTAGCTCTGAAAGCTAGTTGAGGACTTACAGGAAGACTACTCCCAGTTCCAGAGCTGATCCAACCACTAGATGATAGTTGCCAGCCTCTGTTGACTCTGACCGGGATTAATGACAGGTATATAAGACGTGCATGAAATCCAGAAAGAGATTTTGCTTACTCGTAATGGTGCATATTCTGACTGAGGATATTGGTCCACATCCACTGCACTTGACCACCACACTTGAACACCCTCTTCCAAAAAGATGATATATACTTACTATGCCTACCTTTGCCCATAATGGTAAGTGTCTAATGTGGGAGTATTGATTGCTAAATCATAATGTGGGAAACTTTTATAAGTAGCAAACGGCCAGAATACACCAGCCTGCTAAGCCCAGAGAAGATCTACAACAACCTAAGTTTGAGCTTAGAGCAAACATAGTTGTAGCTATCACTGCCTACCACAGGAGATGATGTTGGTGACGGCACACATGAGCTGGCCGGCCTGGCACCCGAGGGCAGTCAGTCTCTGGTCCCCCACCACCCTCATGTCCAGGTAGGTCACACTGCTCGGCAACTGGCTCAGCTCTGGGAACCACCTACCTGTGGGAGTCTCTTCGAAACTCACCTGAACATGTCAGTATAGAGATCGCCGATAAATCCCAGCACTTTTGTAAGGAAATGACAGATCTTATTCTAGCTACCTACAGTCAAGATTAAGAACATCCATCTAGAATCACGATTCATAATACCAATGAACCTGTCACATACATCTAGATATTTAGTTTTCTATTAAAATTTCCTAGGGAGCATTAAAATTTTTCTACGGAGCAATTTGATGGGATACCTCCTCAGCTTGGCGGATTTCTTGGTAGAGGTGGACATTCAAATCATCTCCCGTGAGGAGAAACACAGTCTCCCAGTGATCCCCTGCCAGAATCCTTTACAACGAGTCTGAGCTAGGACTCTATTCTATTATAATGGTGGACTTACTGTGTGTGCATGAGCTGAAAGGGAGTGAAATTGAGTGTCTCGCCTGCCAGTCCTCTGCAAAAAAAACCAACAGCACATTCAATTTACTAACTTCATATCTGCCAGCATTACTTATGCTTACTTTAGTAAACTAAACAACACTTTGCATTCAGACCTTTCCTAATCTAAGAAGGCTATGTAAATGCAATGAGATGATGAAGTTTTTTACCAGCTATTTTGTCCCAGTTGAAAGGAGCAGAGGGTATAGAATGGAGTCCATAGAGATTGAAATAAAACTCCTTTGGATCCGAGTCTCTCTGCAGAGAATACACAATACCATATCCTCCCGGTGTCCACACAATGTGTCGTCCTTTGCAGACCTTCACGAGGGTTACTCCAATTATGACACTATTTGGTTTCCTGACAAACGCATCGATCGATATGACCTCAGCATCCGCTGCACAAAATATCAAACATCCTTTAATTATGGATACATCATGTATATAGCTACCAGGGATGTATGTGAAGTTGATGGGAGAGAGGAGCGGTCGAACAGTGTCTCTCTGGTACTCGAGACAGAGTATCTGGGCCCGCACGGTGGCCACTACCAGCTTATTGAGGTCCCCCACATTGAGATGAACCAAACCATACACATTGCTCTGGTCTGGAAGAGACACAAAGTTGGCCTCGTGAAAATCTATTACTTCACTCATTGGAGTCCCCAATCTGATCTGCTTCGGGAATAGGAATCTATTCCGCCGCGGGTAGGTGTGGTGGGCGGGGCTCGTTTTGGGGCAAATCACGTGATATGTAAACGTGTAGGTTGTGACGTCATAATATCTAATAAATGCACACTCGCCTCGCGTGGAACATCGCTCAGTCGCGAAAGAAAAGCCAGAGAGAGGAAGCTAGTAAGTCTTAGGGATCATGGCCACGTGGCAGGACTTCATCAACCAGAATGAGGACCGGGACGGTGTCCGCATGACGTGGAACGTCTGGCCGGCCACCAGAATCGAGTCTACCAAGATGGTAAACACTCATACGCCACCGCCTAACTCTTCCACTCACTAAAAGTGTAGAATAAACTGAATACACGTTGAAACATTGCTGATTTTTCTAGTATCCGACTGGTACTCATACCTGAGCTATCTGGCATGTTAGATGTCTTATGTGACCCTGATTTGTTGACTGAGTGAACGTTACATGTATTAGGTGGTTCCACTGGCTGCATTGGTGACTCCACTGAAAGAGAGACCAGACATGCCCCCCATCTGCTATGACCCCGTCCTCTGTGGTCGAACGCAGTGTCGAGCTGTCCTCAACCCCATGTGGTAGGCGATTCTTGTTGATTTGTCGTCTTCATGGCTGTTAGTATGTGTGTTTGTTTATGTCTGCAGTCAGGTGGACTACAGGAGTAAAACGTGGACCTGTAACTTCTGTCTCCAGAGAAATGCCGTGAGTTACTGCAGCATTACTGTATGATGTTAAGAGTTACTACACAAAGTCATAGTATGATGTTAAGAGTTACTACACAAAGTCATAGTATGATGTTAAGAGTTACTACACAAAGTCATAGTATGATGTTAAGAGTTACTACACAAAGTCATAGTATGATGTTAAGAGTTACTACACAAAGTCATAGTATGATGTTAAGAGTTACTACACAAAGTCATAGTATGATGTTAAGAGTTACTACACAAAGTCATAGTATGATGGTAAGAGTTACTACACAAAGTCATACATAGTATGTTAGGAGTTACTGCACAAAGTCCTATGGTATGATGTTAGGAGTTACTGCGGAGTCCTTTAGCGTTATTCCATGATGTTAAAAATTTACTGCATTGTCTATAGCATTACTGTATGATGTTAACAGTCACTTCAGATTCCTATATAGTTTTATTCTACGTTAAAAGCAGTGGTGTGTACATATTGTGTCCACAGTTTCCCCAGCACTATGCAGCCATCTCAGAGAGCAACCAGCCAGCTGAACTGATCTCCCAGTTCTCCACCATCGAATACCAACTTCAGGTGCAGTATTCACCTCCTGCAAGTTTGATCTTCATTGGTCAAATCCACTCACTGAGACACTGTATCATGCATTGTATGTGGGTATATACATACCTCCAGTGATTTATGTGATCACTTTTGATCTATATTAATATGTACAAAAAGTGTTCATTTTTGATGGACGAACGTGTAGTGATACATGCTAGTTTTTATTATTTTATTTTTGATGGATGCGCGTGTTTGATAAAATGGCTCGATTTTCTTTGCAGCGTTCTGGACAAGCTCCGGTCATATTCCTGTTTGTAGTGGACACTTGTCAGGACGAGGAGAACCTCCAGGCCCTCAAGGTACAGTGCCCCACATACCCACTTGCTCACCCACGTCTCTCTTCTCTCTCCCTTCTCTCCTCTCTCTCTCCTCCCTCTCTGTTTCTCTGTGTGTGTGTGTGCTGGCAGGAGTCTCTGCAGCTGTCGCTGAGTCTCATACCACCGACAGCTCTTGTGGGCCTCATCACCTTCGGCAAGATGGTTTGTATGCGCAGTAACTTACACCTCTGCATCACACATTTTCCCCTGCTTTTGCCTTTATCCCTCTCTCCCCACTCTCACTCCATATAAGAATCACATGGTTTATACATATCCAAATACACAGACACACACGCTTATCCCACTTCCCTCCCTCTCTCGTTCCCTCACGCACTCCTTTCCCCTCTCTCTCCTCTCTCTCTTTCTCTCTTGTCCATTCCTCCCTCCACTCCTCCCCAACACCCCCCAATATCTCCAACCCAGGTCCAGCTCCACGAGCTAGGATGTGATGGCTATGCCAAGAGCTATGTGTTCCGTGGCAGTAAAGACGTCAGTGTGACCCAGCTCCAGGAGCAGCTGGGGTTGGCTGGTGGCACTGGAGGTAGGCCTCAGGCCACACCTGCAGGCGCACCTCCACAACAGAAGCCCAATAACAGGTCACTCCTCCTTCCTACATTGGGGAAATATATATATATTTTTTCCGAGAACAACTTTTTTTACCATACTATAGTAAACTACGTATCTCTGTGCATCGTAGTACATGTGCTAGTGAGAATGAATATTCGGCTACTAGGTGTGCTTTATTTGGAGGTAGTGTAATGTAAAATAACAGCTCACGCTTGACTTACATAATGCACTAATGGTATGGGGCAGAACCAAGTGTCCTTTACTCGGAGGGCTGTGGTTTCGCTAGATAGTAGATAGGGACAGTGGGAATCTTGTTAATCCATTCATGCGCATCACTAATTAGATGACGAGGCATTTGGCTACCTTAAGAGAGAGGGTCCCTTTTCTGAGGTTTCACTGTATGTGTGTCTCAGTCTCTGTAGAGTGTTTGTTACTCTCTGATCTCTGTGTCTGTGTCTCTCCAGGTTCCTCCTGCCGCTGCAGACTATAGACATGAACCTGACGGACCTGATAGGAGACATCCAGGGCGACCCCTGGCCGGTCTCCCAGGGAATGAGACCGCTCCGCTCCACGGGGGTGGCTCTCTCCGTTGCCGTCAGTCTCCTGGAGGCTACCTTCCCCAACGCCGGGGCCAGGATACTGCTCTTCATCAGTGGATCCTGCTCCCAGGTCTGCCTCTTCTCACCCCACCCCTCTCTCTCTCTCCTTAATACATGTCTCCAAATCTGCCAGCCATTGTGTGTATATATTCATTATTGAATCGGTGTATGAATGAGTGTATAATGTAAGGGGAATACACAAGTCGAGTTTATCAAGTACGGAAGCAGTGTATATACACTCACTATCTCTGTGATGTTATGCTGGGAACATTTCTATGCTAACAAATGTACAAAGTTTTATTAGTTACATCAAATTCGGATGTCGAACTACTATACCTCCTCATTCTGCATGTCGCTCTGTGTTGTGGCATTGCGTAATTATTTGACAGCAAGCACAAGAGTTGTGAGCACGTGGATGACTGGGTGTGTTGCGTGTCTGTCTGTAGGGTCCAGGGATGGTGGTGGGAGAGGAGTTAAAAGACCCAATTCGATCCCACAGCGATCTGGACAGAGACAACGCAAATTACTCCAAGAAGGCCTGCAAGGTATGTCAATGATAATAGTACTTAACATCCGGTCAATGACTGAATTGTTCGTGTAACTATAACAAGCTGTCTGTCCGAGACAGTCTTTATACACACTTCTTTGATCTGTTAAAACTGACCACCAATCTGGCAAATCCATTGTCTTTCCCTCCCCCATGCAGCACTATGAGGCTCTGGCCAAGAGAGCAGCTGACAATGGTCACTGTGTGGACGTGTATGCCTGTGCCCTCGACCAGCCTGGACTCTATGAGATGAGGTTCCTCTCAAACAATACCGGGTGAGCTCAGTGGGGGGAGAGAGATCCCAAACAAGATGGTAGTGCTTCTTTCTGCATGTGCATTTTTTTGCTGTACAATACCACATCCGCATTTCAGTCTTTGCACCAA